TCGGCTGCGGTGGGCGCTGCTGAGCTGCCCCGTGGGGGACCGGTAGGCCCGTGCCCGGCGTTAATCCCTTCGGTGTGGCCGCGCCGCATGAGGTGCTGCTCCTGAGGGTCTCCTGGCTAACCTCTCGGCACAGCCTGAGCGGGTTGTGCTAAGGGAGGGACGAGACTACCTTTGCTCACAGGAAGCTCGTATTTATTTGATGGGTTTCTGTCCACAAGCAAAAGGCGCTGTCCTGAGCACAGCACGCGTTTCCTCTGCGGAGCAGAGATGTGCTGAGTCTCGGTTATGCCAGTCTCGAATTAGCGCTGTAAAAAGTATTTTCAGCCTGCGGGGTGGCAGTGTTCTGCTGCAGCTGTCTGGCCGTGCTGCCCGTTGCAGCTGTATTCTTACAAGGAGTTCCGTTGCTGAACACAGAGTTTGCATTAAGGAATTTCAGAAATCCTAGGCATTATGGCTGTATTAAAGGCTTTGTACAGAGGTGGCAACACTTAATTATGTATATGTCTCAGATAATTTGATAGCACGTTGGTGAGATGTGTGACATCCCATAAACCATGTTTGTGTGGCTATCCCAATACATAACATATAAGAGTCTTCAAAGGGAAGGTTTACCTCCTTGCTAATTTGGCAGTATCATAAAATTCTGTGACCTTATTGTTGTTGGTTTTGTTTTTTTTTTCCTCAAACCTGCTGCATAGCTAATTCTGTATTTTCCAGAGGGTATGGAGGAAGGAAAAGAAATGGCAGCACGTTGCTCAAGTCATGCGATTGAAGAAAAACTGGATATTGACATGAGCCACGGTAGGTGGAGAATGTGTTGAGATAGTCTCCACCTGATGTATCCCTTATTAAAAGTTAAGACAGTTCAGATCAGTAGACCTCCTGTTTCTGCTTTATATCTTGTGCTGTGTACTTGTTTCCTTGCACAGGCTACTGGTGCCGGCTTCAGACTTACAAGCCTCCTCAAAAAGCTTGTGGAGGACTGGTGCTAGAGCATGTGTAGTAGTGACATGATGTTATCAACCTCTCTTTTATATATCTTATCTGAGCTCCTCCCTTTTCCTTATCTATCTGCTGCAGATTCAGTTAATATTTACTGTACGTATTAACTACCAGGAAAACTAATCTGGCTCCTGTTACTGTCCTGTAGTGGTCTGAACCGGAAAAGAACTGACTGATAGGACAACTGTCATATAGCTCTAGATTATATATTCTCACTTTTCTTGATTGGAGGCTGCTGATACCCTTCCCACAGTCAATCTCATGTTCCTATTATGGATGCTTAGAAATTAGCATTGAGATCTTTCATGATATTTGGGTATCTATCAGAATTATCATCATATTTGCAGTTGTACTTTCAATTTCTTTGACATAAAACATGGTTTTATTATTTTAATTATTTAAACTTGGTATCTAAAACTTCTTTGCCATCTGACATCAGCTTTACCAAATTGTCAAAGCATAATGCAATCATTTTTTTTGCAAATCCCCACTGTGACAAAATCCTTGTTGTTATAGTTTCAGACTTTCCTCTTCTGACTGATGAAAAGTTTGATTTTGACCTTTCACTCTCTCCAGGAAGGTAAGTGAAGGGGCTATAGGTAAATATACCTTTAAAATGGACACACGTAAGGTGCTGAGCTGACTTATTTTTATTCATAGTGGAAATGAAGATGAAGTTTTTGTTGGACCTTTGAGACACAAAGAAAAATGTATTGCTGTCAATATTGAAGCAAAACAACAGACTGAAAAAAAGAGCGCACTTGCTTCTGATGATAAACTCCTGTGGAGCCCACTTACAGGAGAGAAATTTGTGGAAATTTTCAAAGAAGCTCATTTGTTAGCACTGCAAATAGAGACTGGAAACAAGAGTGAACAGACTAAGATAAGCCAATCAGAAGAACGGGAAAACAAGATTATAGAAAAATTTGTGGAAGACTCAAAGTCAAAATTGAAAATACTGAGAAACCAAAATATAGACAAGAGTCCCAGGGTCGTTAAAAGGGAGACATACTGTGTGTGGGATAGCCCAGCATGTCAGCTGCCACCTTGTTTTCAGAAGGAATCAGATAAGCTTTTGTCAGATGATGAAACACATGGTTTTCATACTCCTCCAAACAGAAGCCCTGTTAAAATTCGTGTATCTCCTACAAAAATTGCCAGTTCTCCTCTGACACAAGAACAGAACACTGAAGAAAGAAATACGAAGACAACTGGCAAACTGCCAATGGCAAAACCTTCATCCACTGTTGGAAAAAGTGAATTGTTGACTATTGAAAAGGTAAAGACAGCTTCTGGGCAATGTTTCCTAAAACACACAAAAGCCATGTTTAAAGAAGTGTTTAAACTGTCTAGAAGCTTTTATTTTTAAAAGTAAACTTTAATCTTCTGATGTTTCTCTACCTCAGGAGATCCTTAGGCAGGAAACATCATATATAAGAAAGAAAAGTCAGGGCAGATACTATGGTATAGTAGCCAACTAATTTATCTATTATGACATTGTAGAGCATCTGCAGGCAAATTTCTTTTCCATTGTATTCTGGTTTTATGAATACCATCATTCCTGGCTTCTGTTTAAACACTGTTTTGTTGCTGGTAAAATTACTACACTGTTCTTGATGACTTAATGTGCAAAAAATGGCTTTGTTTACTGTTAACCCTTGTCAACGGAGGTGTGCGTGGGGGAACCCTGCAATTATTTTGATAGGACAAGAGAATCTTTTAGCTCTAATTCTGTCCACAACTTGTCTCAATCATGAAAAGCACTGATTAATGATGTTACATTTAGGATGTGGCTATATGACCAACTGAAAATGTATTCTACGACAGCAAGGAAACAGTTGTGTTGATGACCTTGTGTGCATAAATCCCAGTCTCTAGATATTCTATCTTCTGGATTTTATTGCTCTATACCTTATGGCTTAGGCTCCAGTATGTACTGCAGATTTTACTGAAAATGTGATATTGGCTCCTTGGGAACCATCACCTATAGAAAATAGGAGATCCTTTGATTCCTTTGTGGTATAAGTCTCTTCTTGATTTGGGGTGCTATGAGAAAAAAAGCACAGTCTTAATGCTTTAAATAGCCAAATTGTACCCCACTGTTTCAATAGTTTAAACACTGTTTAAATGTTCGGATGATGCAGTCTAATGTAATGTCTCATCTTTTGGAAAACTAGAGTAAAGCAGAAGAGTATGAATTAAATGGAGATCTCACAGCTGTAAGGAACAGCTGTTAACTATATGTAGGTGAACATGATTATAAGAAATTTGTGCTGCTGAATTGTTGTTGCAGAACTGTCTTTAGGATGATGTCCAACATCTGGGTTCAAGCATGTTCTAGTACTTAGCAAATACACTCACTAGACTAAACTATATTAGCCTAAAGACTAAGGACTTGATTAGGTTCAAAGGCTTCTTCATTGCCTGTTATCTTTGTTTCTTAACAAAATCAATTTGTGTAAAAAGCTTATAGTGGTTTCTAGAAACACTAGTAGCTTTTAAAATGTTGCATTGAAATTTGCAGCCTAAACCAGGAAAACATACCAGTATTTCTACAAAAAGAGACTTGAACAGCATGGGATCATCTGAAGATACTTCTGATAAATCTAGTGCTGCTTCAGATGTCTTTGAGTCTTCGTTCAGTGGCAGTTCCTCAGTGCAAGATAAAAAAGCCCTTCCTGCACCAAGTAAGGTAATGGCAAGCATTCTTAATATGAAAATAATTTTTGTGATGTTCTGATAAAAATAAAAAAAGCTGAATATAGTTTACTTCCTAATTTAAAGCTGTATTGCTGTGTACAATGGTTTTAAGGAAGAGTAGTGTCTGTTCTGTAATTGCCATTCTTGAATGTGTGTTCTAAGTCTGTAACACGGTGAACATACTTAAGAGCAACTATATATGTGTTGGATTAACAAGCATTACTTTTGTAAAACTCTAGCTGCAGGGAAGTAATCAGCAATTTTCTGCAAGAAACAAAGTTTTTGATGTGTGTAGCTAACTATACCACATGAAAAGGTTGCCCTAACTTCTATGAAGGTAGACTACCTATAGCTGTCAGGAGTTGTTTTGAAGCTTTAGACACCTACTTCCATGCTGCATGCCACTTCACAGGATCACAGAATGGTTGATGTTGGGAGGGACCTCTGGAGGGCATCTGGTCCAACTGCCTGCTCAAGCAGGGCCACCTAGAGTTAGTTGCCCAGGACCATGGCTTTTGAATATTTCTAAGAATGGAGACTTGACAACCCTTCCAGGCAACCTGTGCCAGTGTTCAGTGACCCTTGCAGTAAAAAAAAAAAGTGGGTTTGGTGTTCAGAAGGAACCTTCTGTGTGTCAGTCTGTGCCCATTGCCTGTGGTCCTGTCACTGGGCACCAATGGACACTGTCAGATATTTGTATATATTGATGAAAGCCACCCTGAGCCTTCTTTTCTCTAGGCTGAACAGTCCCAGCTCTCTAAACCTTTTATCAGATGGGAGATACTCCAGTCCCTTAATCATCTTCATGGCCCTTTTAGGCTCTTCCAGTAGCTCCAAATTGCTCTTGTACTGGGGAGCCTGGAACTGGACACAGATTTTCAGGTGTGGCCTCCCCAGTGGTAAGCAGAGGGGAAGGATCACCTCCCTTGTCCTGCTGGCAATGTTCCTCCTAATGCAGCCCAGGATACCTTTAGCATTCTTTGCTGCAAGGACACATTGCTGGCTCATGTTCAACTTGTCCACCAGCTTTCCTTTTTCTGCAAAGCTGCTTTCCAGCTGATCAGTGCCCGGCATATACTGGTGCCTGGAGTTACTCCTTTTATTCTTTAATCCATTTAAGTCTATACTCAAGTTTGTGGCAGGAGTAAAAATAACAGTCCACCTATTAGATCTGATGTTCTAGTTCTCTGTAATGATGCAGATATAATAAACTGTTTCTCAGAAAATTCACTTTTTAAACTGTACTCTAAGGAAGGAATTTCTCTAAAATTCACAAATAGAAAGCTATAATACCAATAAAAAGCATGCCAAAATAGCGTGTTAAATAGTTGTGGTTTTTTCTTTTGAATAAACTAAATTTTCTTATTCAGCCTGGCTTAAAGAAGATAACACATCTGAAACTTCCTGGTGTTGCCAGTGGTGTCACAAGAAAGACTACTTCATCTTCTTCATCATCAATTTCCAGCATGAACTCAAGTCTGAACTCAAGTTTACCCATTTCTCCCATAGGAAAAAATGGTAATCATTCTTACTACAGATTTGTGCCACAAATCAATTTTGAAGTAGCTAAGCATGTTTGGGACTGTGGGTTTGGATATGTTTTAGTGGTGTCCAGTAAGAAAGGTTTTAAGTGGAGAATAAAATTTTGTAGGCTGGCCCAATAAATCCCTGTGGACTAATGATAAATCTTACACTTCTGTCACTTGTAAAAACTGGATTCATGTAAGCCTGATGCCTACGTGAGAGGGCCTGACACAGCTAGAAAGTAAGCAATGCCTCAGGAAACCTGTTTTTGGTTTTTTTTTTTGTACATGATCATCTGTATTATAGCCAAGTATGTAAGCTTCTGAATGATGTAAGTTTGTCTAACTTGAATTAAAAAAAAAAAAAAAACCAACAACCAAACAAAAAAAGGTGGAAGGCCTAGTTCTGAGTTTCTGTAAGTGTGATAAAAAGATAAACTTTACTCAAGCAGATTAAAAAAAACTCTGGGGAGATAACTGAATACAACTAAGAGGCTTATACTGTAATGTATTGTCTATTATACTATAATAAGGCATCAATTTAACCCTTTCAGTAAGCCTCAAAGTATCAGGAAAATGGTCTCCTAAAAATACTGACAGATGTAAGCACCACTGTTCTTGTAGATCTATCAAGATACCAAGTTACTGCAAATTTTTATTTTTCTACTTTGTTTCTGGATGGATAATAATATATCAGTAAAAGTTAAAGCTTAATAAGAATTACTTTATATGATAGAAGTGTCTAGTCAAGATTCGTCCTATTAATGAAAGTAACCTACAGACTGAAAGTAAGAACCTTAGAGAAAACTGAGAAAAGCACTTTGGGGTAGTTCATCCTGTGGTGTTAATCAGTGTAACTTGAACTGTTACCTTCTTAATGCCTGCTTAAGGAACAACCAACTATGTATGCTGGGAGAAAATGTTGAAAATGTAACTTGAATCTGCAAGCTGTTTTGGCATTTCTTGAAGAATATTCTTTGACTTGATTGCAGTAATTCAGGAATTTGGTGAGGAGACTTTCTAAAACAAAACTACTGGAGAATTCAGGGAGTAAGTTTTAGTAGTTGTAAGTGTTCTCCTTAAACTTGAGTTGCTTGAATATGTATTTAAATGCTGTAAATTACTCATTTTCTTTCCTGTGAGAGCATAATTATTCTGCTTAGTCAAGAAATTACCAGTAAGTGATGATTCAGAAGTATAATTTAACTTTCTATTTCAGGAAAATCAAGCATGTCTTCAAAAGCTAGTGTGAGCGGCTCTAAGCTTTCATCTAGTACAAGCAGGCTGGCCTTTGTCAGACCTACTAGCGTAGGTCTGACCTCATCTCTGCAGGCTGCCAATGCTGAGAAATCAAGGAAGCAAGCAAGATCAGCTAGTACTCCCAAAATACCTAGTGTTGTAAGCCTGGCTAAGTCTTTGGCTTCTGCAACATCATCTGAGGCTGTAGGCAGTGGAATTCAGAGGCTGAGCTCTGTTCCCAATCTGCAGAAGCTATGTCAGCAGAATAAAGATGGAAGTGCAACAAGAGGAAACCCGTGTCCAAAGCCCAGGGCTAGAGTTTTGTCTGTTCCTACAAGTCAAACTAAGGTTCCAGTGAAGACTGGAGGTAAGCATGTACTTTACATGACTTGTCTTCTAGCTTGGCTATTAAAAGCCAGTGGTACCTTGAATGCTTGTTATTTGTTTCATTACACTTCTGTCTGCCTCTTGGAAGGAATTAGTATTTTAACTGAAAGGTATCTGTGTGGATAGCAATTAACAAATCTTTTCTTTTTAGATACACCACTAAACAAATCGGCACCAAAAGCAACACCATCTCTTGGATTAACATTTTATGGCACACCTAGAAGGTAGGGCTTAACTGAAAATTGAATGTGCTGAGGCATACTTCTAAGAATGCAACATTGCTGGGTGTTGCAACAATCTTTAGAAGTTCTAACTTCATTGCCTACCCTCCAGGTTGGCTGTGTTAATGCCTATTGGAACTCATTTAAGAAAAACCAACCACCACCACCTCTCCTTCAGAAGAAGAGGGTTTTCTTTGCAGTGCTAAATCATCATTAATAAAAATATTCTTCTGAAGTAAAGCCCTTGCTATGCTGTGATTATCAACTTCATGATGATTACCATTTCCTTACTGACCAAAGGGAAACTGATTTCTATTGGTTTGTAGAATAGCTTGAATAAAACTGTTTCTAGATGCTTTTGGCTAATGCCTGTTTATTTTTTTTAGTGCCATGGCAGTCAGCACTCCTGTGAAAGCCTCAGAAGGTGGGATCTTTCAGAATTCTTGTTTTCCTGAAAGGTCCATCTCCATGACTCCTGCCAGTCTGAAACGGTCTGGCTTACCTACACCTGTTCGTCGTATATCAGGACTTCCAGTAGCAACTCCTAAAACTGCACCAAGAATGGCATTTTCTCCATGTGCTGCATCTTTTTGCCAAAGTTCCAGCTTTTCTACCAAAAAGACTCTTACAGCTGGGTAAGGCAGAAACCTCCATATATGAAATGAGTATTGTAGGCATACTGCCTCTAAATGAATTTTAATGATGACTTTCAGGTTTCAAGGACCTCTGCTAAATGTTAGAGTAAAGCATTTGAGCATAGATGCTGTATAAGCCTAATACAGATTTATATCTTGTGACTAGTAAAATATGATAGGCCTTACTGAGATGATTCAATATCTAACATTAAAGAATTAGAATCTCTAATAGGAAGTTATCTGTATTTCTTGAGCTAGCAGACAACTTAAGACTTCTGTCTGATGCTCTGACTGAAAACAGATTTGATGTTGACGTTATTTTGCTGTTGCCTTCTGATGAAGGGAAGTAGCTGGTTAAAATGCATATTACTCTAACTTTGTTTTATACTGTTGCCAACACTTCTGTAAAATTATACTTTGTTAAAGCATCAGTCAAAAAGCCAAGGATTTAGTTGACTGAACTTTAGTTTCTGAGCAGGTTTACCTGTGTTTCATTTGAAACAATTGCTTGCAGAATGGGTGAATCCTACACTGTTGTTGTTTTCTGTGACAATAATTATAATGTTGCTGCCTTCATATTGTCAGCCCAACATCTCACAAGTGCCATACATATGTATGCAGGCTTGGTTCATGGTTGGTGGAGGTGAACAGTATTATGAATGATTCATGGCTAGAAAACTCTTCCTGTATGTCATGTTACTTAGGCTACGTGTCCAAAATAGTCTTTTCTCTCAGGGAAACAATTACTCTCTACAATGATTTTATCATATTAATGAGATTACAACTCCTGGTCCTCCAACTGGTGTCAGTACCTCCTGTCAGCAGGTACTGAAGTGGGTTGCTCAGTGATATGCAATATCAGTACTTTGCTAGTTGTTTCTTCAAAGTCTAAAATACCCAAATCCCATGTGTGAAATTAGGAAGTTTATGTAAATTTAAGATTAAATTCTTCATCATTCTGAAGTCATTAGCTCTTTTTTGCATGAGTAGGCTATAAACTTATTGCAGCATGAAATATTTTATATTTTGCAGGTAACTAGCATACTTTTAGATGAAAGTATGGGAAATCTTTGGTAATTAAAACTTGGGGTAAAAAAGGAGAAAATGAGGTTAGGGCATTGGCTTGTCTGTCCTTAGAAGTTCATGCTAATTAAAGAACTCAGTTATTGCCAATGCTCTTTTCCCTAGTTCTAAACAGACAAAAGAGACTAAGACACAGATATCTTCTTCAGAAGATGATATATCTCCTCCACCTGTGCTACCTCTTGCACTTAACTTCTCACCAGAAAAAACTGCTACAGAAGTAATAGAAAATGAATTAAGAGATGCTGAAGTACAGAGTCAGCTGGCTGAAGAGAAACAAACAGAGGTAAGAAATGAAATACATTTTTCTACAGAACTACTAAGTAAACTGCTTGAAAATAAATTACTTCGAGAGGAAGGATAAGTAGGAAAACCACCTCAGTATACACAAAGTTAAAATGGATTAACTCTAAGCCTGTGCACCCTCTAGTGCCTATTTTTAACACTGAACATCTGTCCAGTGTTTCCACTAAGTTTGTTCCCATCTCAAAGCAGGATGGTCAAATACTTGTGGATTTCATATTAAACTTCCATTTCTGGATAAGTGCTGTGAAATCCCTGTGGATTTGATTGGAAAAGCAGTGTCACAGGGTGGTTCCTGCCTTTATTGCAGCCATATCCCCTTTTGAGAAAGGAAAAAAAAAATGAACTGCTGTAGCTAAACTCAATCACCTAACAGCAGTGCAAATCTGGATACAATGAGTGAGAATTAAACCCCAAAGCCCACATAGCAGTAAACTTAGTTAAGTGTCAGGTACTTAGTCCAGTGAACAATCCCCCCCCCCCCCCAAGAATCTACTGATTTTACGCTTAAAGCTGGCACTCCACAGGCATTTAGGAGAAAGGACTGAATTGATAGTTCTGAAGCATTAACCTGTCAAAGTGGCTACTGATTTACAAATATTCAGGTGTAGAATAATCTGTAGATTAATTATTTGATGTTATTGCATCAGTATCATTAAGTGTCAAGCTTACTTGATGACACTAAGTATCTGTTATAGAATTGCTTAGCACCTGTATAGAGTAGTTAAATTGAACAAAAGTATAAGTAAAGTTTGGAGCTCTACAGAATAGTTTATATGGATAAATACCATTGCACAATAATTGTAATCAAGTCATCTAAATATTAAGAGAGTTATAACTCTTCTGTTTGAAATTCGACTTAACTCTGTTTTTAAGTTAATTGCTTTATGCCCCAAGGAGCTCTCTTGCTTTTTCTCACTGCATTTTCCCTGTTTGTGATGCTAGCCATTGGCAGAGCAAGAGCTGAGATTTTTACACTCCGTGCAAACAAACCTGCATAAAAATACCCAATCTATAAATTAAGCCTGTCCTGTGATTATGGCAGCTGTATAAGCTAAATTGACTGCCTAAATATTTATGAAGGAAGCATAGAGAACAGAGAGGAAAACCTGAACTACTACTTTTTTTTTTTTTTTAAGGCCTTACTGGTAGATATTGGAGAAGACAAATCTCTTCTACACGCTTTGGAATGTGAAAGTAGACCTCTGATTGACCTTTCCAATACTCCCGAAGTGAATAAGATTATTCCTCTAAAGCCTACCTTCTCAGGGCAGGTAAAGGTAAGTTTTATATTCAAGTGCAAATACGCTAGCAAGAAAATGTCAACTGGCTGCATAATTTGTCTGCATAATACTGTAAGAATTATTTAATATTAGCTCAATATGTTCAATACAATACTACACACTAAGGTGCTTTTAAGTAAAGAGAACATAATGCTTAAAATCAAACAATGTGCCCTAAACTAGAGCTCAGTGAACAATCTGCAAATAGGAAAAGGAGGAGGATGCAGAAAGAGCATAATGCTTAAAGCAGTTGTTAAAGAATGAAACTGTTCTGAAGCAGGAAGTGAATGCTGCCTTCAGTAGTATAGGTATGCTGGTTTCCTTTTTTTGTACATTTTCAGTTCTTGGCAGCAGCTCATTTTCAGCAAAACAGCAAGGCTGTCTCTCCTGTTTAACTCCTTTCCTAATCCCCTCCCTTAGATGAAAGATGTGCATTGGGATCTATTCTAAATTTGACAAGTGTTTCTGGGCAAGTGTCTTTTATACGCTAGTGGCTTGAAGGTAGATGCCTTTAGATATTGTCAGATGAACGGTGGTAACTATGAGGATGTTTGATATTAGATGTAGTTGGGATCAATTTAATACTGGCTCCTTCAAAATATCTTAAAAGAGGATCAGGGAAGTCTGACTTCTGGGGGCACGTTCAGAGGAGTTCAGAAGTGCTCTACCCTGCCTGGCTGACAGTGTCACTTGAATAGGCATAGTAGTGAAACTTAGGAAAGCCTTTTAGGCTTTTAAAGTGAGTGTGTACAGGCAATAACCATCTTGTGAGAAGCTTGTGCTTGTCTAAGAATGAGCTAGATGTTTAAAAACCTGAACCTAAAAGCTTGAGTGTGGTGCTTGTATCTGTCTTCGGGGAACTAATGGGAATCCTAAACACAAAATACTTGAGAAGACAATGTTAGAGATCAGTGCTGCTAGTGGTTATGTACAACAGCTGACTACAATAGCTAAATTTTATTGTTTTTTCTTTCAGCTAATTGATTTGAGTTCGCCTCTTATCACTCTGAGTCCTGATATAAACAAAGAAAATCTGGATTCCCCTCTACTCAAATTCTGAACTTGAGTTGAAATGAAGAATTCTTGACGTCTATGATCTTTACAGTGTTTAGGTGTTGCTCTTCACTCATACAGTTTTAAGATGGCTATAGATTATCTGATTAATACAATAGAATTGTAACAGTATTGATATCATCAAACCAAGTCTGATTAATGGTTTTGTTCACGGATGTGCTGCAATGGATGTATTTAAACTGTGTTGCCCTAAGGCGAAAAGGGATATTCTCTGTATTGGAAGCCTGTCCCTATTTCCTACCAATTGTCCTTTGATTCCTTATCCCCTATGTGCAACAGAGATTTAATTTAAAATAAATGAGTTTAACAAACTGTCGTACAAAACATCAACCTTTTATTACAGGCTTTGGTTAGACTAGTGTTTCACTAACAAATGTTAATATGTAGGTAAAGCTAGTGGACTTCAGGGTGGTTTTTCATACAAAAGTGGAGCAAGTTTGGAAAGAAATATTTTACTGTTGAATACTAGTGGAATACACTGACAGCAACAGCTGAATTTGTGTGATTCAAAGGAGAAGGCAACAGCTTGTTACTGCCAGATGGTTTAGTCTTGACATTTGAAGGTTAGACTTGAACTTTCTCACTCTCAAAGAATAGACAAATGCTTTCTTAACTGAATTTGCCACACTTGGATAATACGTGGAGATTTTAAATACAGGGAGGTGAATGGAAATGAAAAGGCACGCAGTAGCCTGTAAGTGTTGAAGCAACAAGCCTGTCTTGGAGACTAGAGACTTCTGCCATGTATGTACAGCTTAACATATTTATGAAAGTTTATCAAGAGATGGAAATGGATTTTCAGCTGTTTGTATTAATTCAAAAAGTGGTAGAAGTTGGAGACTCAAGTATTTAAGTAGGAAGAAGTATTGAGATGAGTTTGGCAAACATTTTGATGCTGAACAAGGCTCCTGTCTTGGCGTTATTTGAAGGCACTTGCCTGCTTCTCAGCACAGCTGCCTTTTCTGTGGTTGCTGCACCATCAGACTCTGTTCTGAAGGAAGGCAGGCCTCGGGCCAGATTGTGAAGACTCTTCTGAGTCAGAGGGAACAGTTTGTCTAGAGAAGACTGAGATGGGATCTCATCAACACTTACAAATATCTAAAGGGTGGTCAGCAAGAGGATGGGGCCAGATTCTTTCCAGTGGTACCCAGCAACAGGGCACAAACTGGAACACAGGGAGTTCCATCTCAACATGAGGAAAAACTTCTTCACTTTGAGGGTGACAGAGCACTGGGACAGGCTGCCCAGAGAGGTGGTGAATAGCAGGAGAGATTCAAAACCCGCCTGGACACCATCCTGTGCAACCTGCTCTAGGTGATCCTGCTTCAGCAGGGGGGTTGGACTAGATGATCTCCAGATCTCTACCATTCTGTGATTCTGTAAACCGTGCTACATGCCCCTTCCAAACATGAAGCATAAAAATGTGGAATTTGTATACTTTCTTTGCTTCTTGCTTTCCTTCTGTGAAAAGCAAGAGGGTTTCTTCAACCAAAGCATTTACTAAAACTTTGAGCCAGTGCTGTGCAGTTAAAAGCAATACTTAAACCAGCTCCTCACTAGTCTTTAAACACGAGGATAAATTAATTCGGTTGCATATTTCTAAATTGAAACAGAGGGAGATTGTTTAAAAAAAACAAAACCAAACCACACACAACCCATGAACATTCTTCTTATAGGTAATGTATTTGTGGTTTCTTATTAAAAAAAAAAAAAAGAGATGAATGGGTTTATCCCCTGTACTTCAAGGACTGGCAGGAGAGCCAAGCATTCTGTGCCCCCTGAACTACATTTTGTGAATGCATGGTTCTGCAGGTGGCAGATCTAAATCCTGGGTTTGAGCATGACCATGACAGGTTCTGAGCAAGCAGGACCCCTAAATGTGTCCAGGTCCTAAAGCAAGCACCTGGCCAGCTGAGTACTGCTGCGATTCACTCGCTGTGTTAACTAGCCTAACTAGTCATTGGAGTTCAGACACTGAGGTGAGAGCTTGAGGTGTCTTCAACTGAGGGCCAAATTCCAACCTTCAAGGTAAAAGCCAGTTGTCCAAACATCCAGAGGCCGTTGAAGCACGGCTAGTGCCTGGGGTGCAGAGCTGGGGCAGACTGCACTGCTCTGAAGTAGTAGCTGGAGCCAGGCGGAATAACCTTTGGCTTATTGAGCAATAATGAACATGAAGCAATCAAATGGAGACCAGTGTTTTCTTCTGGGCCTTCCTTCAATTCATTCTGAGCCTTGTGGCTTGGGGACTCGTGCTTGGAGTTTGGCGGTTCAGGGTGGCCTGAAGTGGGGAGGGTTGTAGGCCAGAAACCTTCTGCTATTTCCACTTTTTGGCTTGTTTAAAGCCTCATTATCCCCTACGCAGCCCCAGCCCTGCCTCTCCTGCGGCCATTGGCACCTTCCCTGCTGGGAGAGGTGCAGGCCAGCTGCACAGCACTGCATTAAGAACTGGATCAGGGAAAACCACGGCCCGTACTTCCAGGTACGTGTCCGTGTAAGCGAACAGGCGGTAAGTCAACTCCTCGCGCTACTTGTGGGGCTGCGCTGAGGAAAAGGCGTCCCCCTGCGCGAGCTCCTCCTCCGCGCCGGAACCCCCGAGGGCAGGCGCGTTTTCCCCGAGCGCTATTGGGCGCC